TCTCATTGAATGTATCACCTCATGAACAATTAGGATGTTATCATTTATTTGTTTGTTAGGCACAAAGGTGCTTTGATATAGAGAAATAATTTTATCTAAGAAAGCCTTGGTTATGTTGACCAAGATTTTTGAAATAATTTTGTAGATAACATTGCACAAACTTATGGCTCTGTAGTTATTAATTGTTTCTGGGTTCCCATTTTTTAGGATGAGAGCTATAAAAGTTTTATTCCATATACAGCACAACTTCCCTAAGTGAAAGAAAGCTCTATCTTCCTTACATATTAATTCTTTAATGATGTTCGAATTTTGTTTTTTCAAAAACAAAGCATTTAAGCCATCTCGACCAGGAGCTTTAAGGTCATTAATTGATTGGAGGGTCTCAAAGATTTCTACTTCCGAAACCTCCCTAATGGTTCAATTATTCTGGTCCTCTATAATGTAGTTATTGATTTTCTCAATAAATTCATCAATCCCACTCGTTCCTTTAGTCTGAAATCTTTGCTTAAATTTATCACTAAGGTAATTTGATATCCCATCCTGATCCTCAATCCTCTCACCCTCCTCGTTTTTGATAGATACATTTTTTTTTTATGAATGAAGTAATTAACTTATTAATTAATCACATAAAGTAAGAGTTACAAGCATCCCAAGAAGAGGCACGAGGTGCAACCTTTTCAGAAAAACTAAATAAGGATTCTCAAATACAATCTGAATAAGTTACAAGGTCGTCCAATACAGACAGTCCCTAGAAACCCCTTGTTTGGCTAAAGAATCAACTATAGCATTTGTCGATCTGCTCACCCACTGAATACCAACTGTCATATTGCTAGTCAGCCAATTCACTTTTTTAAGGAGATCTCTATAACCCCAAATGGCAGAATCCGGTTTCAGGAGCCACCACCTGTGAATCGTCTTCAATTAATAAATGCTCCACCCCAAGCTGGTTTGTGATCTGAATCCCTTGTACAGCAGCTAGTATCTCTGCTCTTGTAGAGTCTCCCACTCCCACTGGTCCTGAGAATAAGGAGATAATGTTGCTATCCTTATTTCTTAGGACCCCTCCTATACCCGAAGGTCCTGGATTACCCTGGCTACTCCCATCAAAGTTCAGCTTAATGACTCCTTCTGGAGGGGGTGTCCAATCTACCGCTCTTCTAATCCTCCTAGTAGAGGTATTAGCCACTGCTAGCCAATTTCTCCAAAGATCATCATAGGAAAAGTCAGTTAATAGTTCTAAGGTTTTCACCCAATGGATTGTCCTTGTCAAAGTGCAATCCTTCACCTCAAATAGATTCATTTCCTTTCCTAAGAAGATTTTGCATTCCTTTCTTCCCAGATAGCCCACAAAAGATCTTCTCTGATACATTTCCACATATTTCTCCCTTGTCGTGTGTGCCACCCAAAAATAGATGGATTAAACAACATACTCACATCGGATGGAAGGTTCCACCTATGTCCAAACAAAACAAAGATCCAATTCCATAATGCTACAACAAAGGAACAAAATACCAATAAGTGTTGACAATCCTCATTCTGAGCTTTACAAAGAACACACCAGTTAGGGGAAAGACATAAGTAAGGTTTCTTCTTTTGCAAATTTTCCAAAGTATTGATTTTACCATAGTAAACTTTCCATCATAAGGCAACAATTTTAGGGCGGGGG